ATTAACCAACTCTTATCCATCTATGACTCTGTTTATCCAGACGTAGGCCACAGGGACGTGCTAAGTGTTGGAAATCAGATTTTTGTATTTCTAACCACATGCTCATCTTGGTTAAGCCTTAGCATCGGAGGCCTTTGGGGCTCCTTCTTCGATGGATAAATGAAAAAGATTCGTAATTGACATATGATTTTTATGTTGGCAGACTTTACCGAAATGCTGAAAACTTTTGTTCCCGTGATTGGTTTAGTCACAGCCTGGAGTTTATACCACTAATTGGATCGGCATGTATTTTCTCTATGAATGGTATTTAACTCAGACTCTGTCCAAATGTATTCATATCTTCCTCAAACAATCACAGAAGACCTACTGTGATCTTCGGGGTAGCAGTTGAATGAAAAGCAGATTCTGTGTGTGTTTGAGGAATGGAAGGAGTGTAGGATGGCTAAGGCCGTTGTGGAAGAAATCAGGGCTGTTCGGAGCTCGCAGGCCTGCCAGGCGAGGCTGAGCCTGGAAAAGGCTTCGAGGAGCGTCATACGGCCTCGTTGTGTTTGGGGATTCAGGGTCAGATCACCTGGGTTCAAATTCACATTTCACCCCTTCCTAGTCATGTGACTTTGGGAAAGTTATTGGACATTTCATGCTTCAGTTTCCTCCTTTATAAAATGAGGAAACCAATAATTATCTCTATTTCTATGGGTTGTTGTGTCTATTAAAGAAGTGCCTGTAAAGTATTTTGTTTCATGTCAGGTACATAGCAAGCCTACAGTCAATGAAAGCTATAATAATAATAATTGTTAATATGCTTATCTGAGCTGGGACCTCAAAAATGAACGGGTGTGAGCTTTACATAGTTAAGGGAGGGTGTTCCAGGTGAAGGGCACCCTGACTTCCAAGCTCAGATCTGAGAGAATGTGGAATGCTACGGGAACTGAAGGGAGCTCATTTTGCGTGGAGCGTAAAGTGAGGGTCGGGTAGGTGGTGGTGCGGGGATCATGGCAAAAGATAAGTCTCTCGAGGTAGGCAGCATCCCAGTTGAGGGGGGTAGGAAGCATCCACTGGGGGGTAGGCTAGCTAGAACGTGGGGCAGCTGTGTTCTTGAGAGCTGAGCCTGTTTACAAATCTTAGGCTCTGAACCCAACTTGAAACGTACAGGTGAGTGGAGTCCCAACAACCGACACTTTGTATGTGTTCACATGAGTTCCAGGAGAGTTGCAGATGTCTGAGATGAAAGGTTTTGGCAGGGAGCTTCGTGGAAAATATTTTGAAAATATCAACACAGAGAAAAATTTGTAACAACTCGACAGAAAGCCATTCCCCTGGTGGGCAAGAAATATCAAGGTTTGGGTTTAGGCCTTGGACGGTGCACTGAACGTCTGGAAACCAAGTTCTCTCTGGATCCTTGGAAAGAGGTTTTGAAATGGGTCCTTGGGAATTGCGCCTTCCTGGCGCGCGCACGCGTGTGTGTGTGTGTGTCGCATGCATGCGCACAGAAGTATGGACGGATAGACGCCTTGTGTCTGTGTTTCAGGAGGAAATGGGACGTCTGGTCACGTCCCTTCTGACATGCAGGCATGTTACTCTGAGGTGCTTGTAATCCTGGAGAGGAATGTGTTCTCTGTGGTGCAAGGTTCTGGGAGGATGCGCTGCTCCTTTTCCATGCGAAGACCTGATGGGCTCCTGGCGGGAGCCACACAGTAGGACCCCACCTTCTGCACAGTCTGCACCCTTTATATGGATTTATTTATTGTGGATATTTCATATACATGGAATCATATGACATGTAACCTTTTCTGTCTGGCCTCTTTCACTTAGCAGAATGTCTCGGAGGTTCATCTACTTTGCCACATACATCAATACTCTTTATCCCTTTTCATGGCTGAATAATACCCCTTTGTTTGAGTGGACCACAGTCTGTTTATCATTCACCTGCTGGTGGACATTCTGCAACTTTGTCAAAAGTGCTCCCTTTGCAACATAGTGCAGATGGGTCACTTGTCCGAGGGGCTCAGAACAGCGTGAAGGTGATTAAATCTCTAGTCCTGGTCGAGGAGAGAGCGTGCTGGCCAGGGAGGGCCACCAAGAAAGCAATTGTACCAAATCCAAAAAGCAAGTGGAACATGGACACAGCCACGTCCTTTTCCTCTCCACCCCGGCGGCTCCGCATGGAGAAGTGAGCTCCGCGATGACTTGCGCAAGGTCACATTCCTCTTTTCCCCGGAGCCCGGCCGCATTATGAAAACCTTTCTCAACCCAGCACTGCAATCACCACCCGTCAGTCTGTGTCGAGATTAAGTTGAAATAATTGCCATCCCTGGAGTATTTAAATGATAGTGTTTTGGGGCCCATTTAGGACAGAAATGATAAAGCCCATGCCATAAACAAGGCCACTGGAATTCAAACAGGTGCAGCATGTAAATGATGAGGCTCCCAGGGCCCCCCTAAGCCCATCCTGACTCCTTCCCCAGAGCTTTCCTCTCAGCAGGAAGATGACTTGATATCACACACATGATAAAAACAACTATGTTTGTATGTTTTCCTGCTAGGTCACCTTAGAAAATAGTTAGATGCCCCATCCCCATAGTTTATTATGTAAAAGGAAATCCAATTTGAACCCTACTGCTCAATTGTTCTGTAAACCCAAAACTTCTCTGAAAAATAGTCTATTAATTTTTTAAAAAGGAATCTAAAATCAGTCACTAGCAGGGGCGTACAAGGACTTTCTAGAATCGCGGAATGTGACACACTGCAACTCATTCTGTCCAATCTCACCATCGAATAGAAGGGGGAACATTGTCTGCCCACCCACTGTTACCATTTTCATCCAGATAGCCACCATTTCTTTCCTGGTCCACACCTTGTCCTCTCACTCCCTCCATCTGCTCCTCCCTCCCTCAGCGTTCTCCTTCACACTGCCATCTAAGGGATCTTTCTCAACCGCAAATCTGATCATGGGGGGGAAAAAAAGCCATTCCACAGCTCCCCATTGCTGCTAAGATAATGCCCAGTACCCTCAGCATGGCTCACCAGCCCAGGATCACCTCCCCACTCTTTCCCTGCTCCACTGTGACCCTCTCCATATCCTTTGTGAGTGCATTGGCCTGTTAGTCAGTTTTGTGAGAGTTTTTTAATTTATTACCTAGGATGCTGCACCTGTTGGTCCCGTTTGCTAAACCTATCGCCTGCCTTTTTCACATCACTGACTCCTCCTGTCTTAGAAGAGATACACAAGAGGCAGGTGGCTCTTGAGTCTGGTTCCCTTGATCCCTAACTCAGACCTCATCCCTTTGCAGTGGTTCTCAACCTTCCTAATGCCGCGACCCTTTAATACAGTTCCTCATGTTGTGGTGACCCCCAATTTCATTGTTACAAATTGAACATAATTAAAGCATAGTGATTCATCACAAAAACAGTATGTAATTATATGTGTTTTCCGATGGTCTTAGGCGACCCCTGTGAAAGGGTCGTTCACCCCCCAAAGGGGTCGCGACCCACGGGTTGAGAAACCGCTGCTTTAGAGGGTTTAAAACAGTCATCTGAGGAAGCAAAGTGTCTCCGGGGCTGCTGGTTCGAGGGCCACGCTTTTGTCCTAGGTTCTTATTCTTGGCATCTGAGAATTGGGTTTACCAGTGCCAGATCGCATGATAGAAAGCTGCCTCTACCCTTTTACTTATTTATTTTTGTAAAAAGACTTTAAAATACTATGGTTAGACAAATTCTAAAACCTTGGGTGACATATAGATCTATATGCTGACTGTTTCTGCCTGTTTGATAGTGAGAAGTCAAAGCCACTAAAGCCCAGTGAACTTCTCCATCACGGAGTATGTGTTGGTGTGTGTGCGCGTGGAAAAGACACCGGAAGGAATGTCTCATATCCTCCGAGAGAAATCTCTTTGCCCCGTGACTTCTGGTCTCTGCAGATAAAACCAGGGTGCACACAAAATCACATTAAGACTTGGTCACTTACTCTTTCTGTTCGGGAAAGATGTGCCTCTCTTCATGAAGCTATTCTTTCAATTTAGTGTCAGTCTTCACAGTGAATTCAAGAGAAGTGAATGGAACTTTAATCATTTATCTTATTTGGGAAATAACCAGTGATCTGGCAGATTCTCCCAATGACCTTCATTTTATTTGGTGCCCTCCCTCGTGTCTCTAGGTGGGTTGTGTTTGCAGAGGCCAAAACACCTGTGATGGCTCCCCTACCCGTGCCTTTTGTCATTCGCACTGATATTCCCAAACTGCCCTTTTGTGCAGAGTTCAGCATTTCAGGTATCACGTTTGACCCGTCCTCTGGTTGTGCTGCCGACCACCAGCTCAGAATGCAGTGCCAGGAACCCCACTGCATGGCAATGCCTGTGCGAATGAGTGCTTTAGTGCATCTTGTTTTCATTCTTATAAAAAACAAGCCGCTCTCGGAAGAAAATGAGTGTATTGTTAATACGTGTCATAAGCAGCCCTTGTCTCATAATAATCATAGCCAAGAGTTAATGTAGCGTCTGCCGCATTTTAGTCACCTCGTATATTTATCTTATTCTAGCAACAACCTCCTTAAGTGGGGACTTTTATTATTACCATTTTACAGGCGAGGAAACTAATTCTTAAAGCACCTAAGTAACTTTCCAAAGATCACACAGCTACTAAAGTAGTGACAAGATTTAAAAAAGAGAGAAATCCCATAGGCAGCTCGGAAACAGCAAAACATCAGTGTCGGCTGCAGGTCTGTGGTATGAACGGGATGACTGTGTGTTTCATGACGAAGGGAAAAAATGAGAAGCCTGAACGTGCTGGCATATATTGTTGAAGAGGGCATTCCCAGGGCAGGCATGGCTGGAGGTGACATTAGTTTAGTCCCTGAAAACTGAACTTTCCTATAAGACGTGAGAATGGTTTTCATGTTTGCATATGCAAAATGGAGATGCTCTCCTGGAACTGTTCCTGCAGAAGATGGGGTGTGTCCTAGATTCATGCTGCCCGCAGCAGACAAAAAACACACCACTCCAAACTGAAGCATACAAGCTATTATATATTTTCATAATATAGAACTTTAAAGTATAGTAATCAACAGTGGCAAAATATTTCTGTCTTTGACATTAGTTTTTTTTGTGAGATCCAACCTGTAATTGAGACCAGAGAAAACAGTATGGAAAAACGAATCCACGAGAACAGGATAAAAATACCATGAACAGCAAAATATGTCTGAGTATTTAAAACCGTATAGAAAAAAATAAATTAGATGAACAATTGTGTAAATATAAATTAAAAAAGATGACATTCTTAATAAATAAAGTTTACTATTTACATTTTTTATATATTGCTAAAAGACTTAACTTAGATCCATAAAAACACATGAACAGGAAAAAAAAATAAAACCCAAAATAGGAGCAGCAAATTTATGCGCGTGAGGTACAGAAAAAGGATTGGAATCGTGTTTTGGTTCCGGTGTTTAGATTTTTTTTTTTCCTTTTTCATAGTAGGCCAGTAGAATTCTCATGAGAATAGATTTTTAAGCACTTCGATGGAGAATTATTTTTTTGGTAGTTTCCAGAAGGTGCCAAACAGATTTTCAACATCATCATGATTAGAAATACCCATAATAATTATAACAATAATAAAAAGATATAATATGGTACATAAATATGGAAGAGCAGTTTGTAATATGAATACATTTTCTCTAGACGAGATCACAGTTTTATTTTGTAAATATTACATTTAAGTATATATATACACACATATATGTACAACTATATATACATGTGCATATATATGTAAATTTATATTTATATATAATATCTTTATATAGATAGGTATCTGTGGACAGGTTATTGATTATAGAGACCCCAAAAAGCAACTCAGTAATTGTTCCAAGTCCTCCTCGCTGACTGCTGGTGTCTAGTTTGAGAAGCCCCGAGGGGTTTGCACTCAGAAAGCCAGATCTTCTAACCAAACGCTGGGGAAGAAGAGCCTTGAGGGCCTCCCTTCCTCTATAGAGTAGGAAATGGCCTGGGAGTATCGGAGAGGAAGCAGTACACTGGCTTTTACTTTGCAGGAAGTAATTGGCTTTGAATCAAATGATAGAACTTGTCAAGGCCAGGATAAGGGGGGAAAGTCCAATTTACCTAAGGATGAAATATTCCCTAACACAAGCCTCCCTCTTAACACAAACTCCGGCTTTATCCCCTGGAGTATCAAACGCCCACTCACTGTCGTCCCTGAAAGGCCTGTGGGCCCCCACCTCTCTTGAGGGAGCCCATGGATTGTGTGTGTAGCCTTGGCTCTCAGATCGCTATGGCCCGAGTAGAACCTCAGGGCCTCCCAATCCCCCGGCCTCTCATGGTGAGGTAGGTTAAGTAGTATTATCCCCATTTTGCAGCTGGAGAAACTGAGGCAAATGGAGAGGCGAATTGATGACTTGTTCAAGATCACTAAGCAAACTGCTTGCTGCCTGGAGTCAAGATGTCTAGGTTCTTATTCTAGGGACATAATTCCTGTGTGGCTATTCAACATTTCCTTTATGGATCCAACAGTGGGTAGGAATTTGGCAAAATGTGAATGGGTTTAAAAAGAACAGGCTCTCATTTCATTGAGCTTTTATGTGTGTTGTTTGCTGGGTTTATTTTGTTTTGTTTCTCAGAAACCGTGGGGATTACCTGTTGGGTTAGGTAGCAGAGTGTAGCCCGGTGGACTGTGCAGTGTAGTTCTAAGTGCAGAAAGCCCAATGCTACTGGTCAGGACACACGTTTTATAGTGTGAGAAGCACAACACAGTATGTCCCCTTAATATCTGGTAAAACCAATTGCCAGCCCTCTCACTCCCTATGAACACACATTGCCACCAAAGAGACCAATCGCCTCCCAAACAACAACTCCACATCAAGGGGGAAGTTGCCTGATTTCCTGGATCTAGCACAACATACAGAAAATAGCAGGATTATACATCCCACTCTATGCCTCCTGTAGGGAAATCTTTATGCTTTTGTCTACCTACTCAGTCTGTAGAAAAAAAAACAAATTTCTTTAGGAAGCACAAAAATAGTTGTGTGTTTTTTTAAAAAAAATCTTATTTTTAATCATGCATATGTATTTCCTTTTAATCTCCTTGTCTTCTATTAATTTCTATCTGTACAGTTTTGTCACCATCAATTTCTATTCTGCACTTGAAGTAGTTCCAGAAAAAAATCACACCACCCAAAACCTCAAAACTGATCACTTGAAAATATGGTTTCCTTTCTTTCTTCCCTCCTTCCTTTCCTTCCTTCTCTCTAACACAGGTAAGACCTATAACAAATGGACAGTTGCAACCAAGTTAACTCATACCTGGAAGGGAGGTAGCTGAAATCTGTCTCAAAGAATCATTTTCCACAAACAGCATTTACGCGTTGGCCAGGTGGGACTGAGACCAAGAGCACTGTCTAGGCAGCGACGCAACCCGCTGCAGCCAGGAGCAGCAGCTGACACCCTCCATCCTCAAAGCCCTGCTCTGCATGAACACTGGTCTCTCCCGTCCATCACACCCATCAGCCACCGAAACAGGCTTCTCAAGGACGGTCTTCCCCTAAGAGGTGGTTGGCACCGAATCTGGGGTGGGGGTGGCAGTGGGGGTGGGGTAATGCAAGTCCTCTGGGCAGGCAGGCAGGGTTGTGGCTTAATAAGGCTTCCCAAGAGAGGGCTTGGAGAGCTGTCTACCTCATCTCCTTCCTTGCTGCTAAAAGGCTAATCCTTCTGTAGACACAGGACCCCCAAGTGCTGACAAACAACAGGGCTTCCTCCTGGGTGCTCCCTTTTCCTAAACAGGAGATGATGGGAAGATGAGACGATGAGTTTATTCCCAGAAAGAAAATGAAACTGGGTGTCAGTGCACTGCATGAATAGAGCAGACCCAACTCCACCAAGGTGGGAGGAGGGCCTATTGGTTACACCTCCCATGTGGGCACGAGGCCGGCCACCAATCCAGTAGCCTCTCTTGCCCAATGGCCTTGGCAAAAGGGAATTTGCGAGTGACAGGTTTGAATGATGGTAAGGAGACCGGGTGGAAGTTTGCTCAGAGGGCTCAACTCCATCTGGAGATAGAAGGCAGCCTTCAGGAAACTCTACTCAGCTGGAGAAGGTGGGGACAGACAAGGGGGAGAGGGAAAGGAAGAAAGAGGACGGGGGTCCATTTAAGGGAAGCTGGTAAGGTCCATTAGTCATGTTGTCTTGGGGTCTCCAAGGCTTTTTGCATTACTTACTGGTGTCATAAAGCATCGGGGAGGGCTAACAAAGTTATTTTTCTTAGTTCATATCTTCAACCTAATACCACACGGGGTGATAACTCAGAGCAAGAGAGGGGCCTCGAGAGTTGGGAAGAGCTCTTAGACACTGGAGAGGGGTACAGAACGGGATGAAGTCTTCTATTATAATTATTATTTTGCTAATAATTGGCCCTGGTAATTATAGAAAAAAATGTCCTGAATGAAAGTAGGAGTTTGTAAGGAAGAAACAGAAAGGATTTGAGCCTGGCCTTAACAATGGTGGCAGCCTCTTCACTCTGGAACTCCGTCTCAGAGTTGGTAATGTAGTGCGAACCACACAAAATTCTAAGCACTGTATCCTTATTTGTGGGCACCTGTGCAAAAAGCACCTTGATAGATTTTTAATATCACAGACCACAGATGATGGCCAATAAATGTCTTTTCAAGCATCCTTGATCAGCAGGCAATTGCTGTCGGGAGTGATAAAGGAGCTTTCTGAAGCTCTTGGTCCTCATGGGAGAAAGCGCTGTAACTAACAATGCCTGCCTCAGAAGCAGGAATGTGTGGATCAGCGCGCATGCCTGGCATGTTCCACTCCCATGCTAGACTGTGTTTTTGTTGGTTGTCTTCTCTAAACTTGAGAGGACTTGATTCATAGCAATCTTTATGGGATATGTCTAATTTAGACCTTCCCATCGCCTCACTTTCTCAGTTCCAGGTGTCAGAAATTATGTCAAACTTAACCATTCTCTCCACCTTTTTCTGTACTCATCTCTCCTCATATTCCTCAAAAGGAGTGGATGGAAACTGGCTGAAAAGAGGCAAAGAGGGCCCCAAAGAGGGGGGGCTCCTACGGGGGTCTGACTGACTTACTCTGCACTTTTGGAGGTGGAATGTGGGAGAGACGGAAGGGTTGCCCACCCCCAGGTGTGGACGGGAGCACTGGCAGATGAAAGACTATGGGAAACATCATGACCATTCTGGGTTGCTGGGGACCGAGGTTGGCACTCTTGGACTTCCCTCTGATGGCCCCTGGAACACAGTCGAGACTGATCACATCCAAGATGATTCTCTATTACAGGAGGCTAGCTGCTCAGGGCCACCTCGAGGTCCTCAGGACCAAAGCCCGCTGTAGCCTGGACGGGCAGGAAGGCTCGGTGAAGGAGCATAACTCAAGAGTCCTTACAACTCTAACAGTCCCCGGATGACTCTAGCATCACAGAAACATAACACTGTTCCACTTGATTATAAAATCTAACACTGGCTTAGACATTCTGCACTCTCGCTGAGGGTTCCCACTCCCTTCCAGGGTAAGAAACCCACCCACAGAGGACCACGCTTCTCTCCATGGGGGGCCAAGGAGGGGTTTCTCTTGCAGGAGGACTAGGGAGTGAGGAGCTATGGGGAAATGTGGGTCACGTTTAAGGCAGACTGTTTGGTTGTGTGGGGTTTTTCCTAACCTAGTCCTATCATCTTGGGTTACTCAATGTATAGGATAGAGCAGCAGGAAAAGTAGCAGCAAATGTGGTCCCAAGGCAAGATTTGGGGAATGGATGGGTTCCGGAGGGATATTATGGCCTCATGCCTCAAGCAGCGGGCTCTTATAATACCTTGACATTGCAATCTTAAGCCATTTCCAGCTTGGCCTTAAACCCTGGAGTTGGGGTAAACCCCCATGGCAGCGGGAAAAATCGGGGGGCTTCGTACACTTTGGATTCTTTCTCCCTGGGCCCTACTTTCCTAGAAGGTAGGTGATCAGAGACCATTTCACTTTCGATCCCAAAGGACTGTACCACTGCGCACGTCCTACATATTCCAGGCCTCAGGGTGTGAACTATCTTGGCATCTCAATACTCGGCCTTAGCAGTTTCTGCAACTCTTTCTCCCAAGGACAGTGTTGGCTGGGAGCTTGGGAAAGGAAAGATTGACTTTGTTCCAGTCTCTCTCTGCTCAGTCTCCAAAACTGCCCTCACACAGATGTTTGTATGGGTGTGTATGCATGCATGTGTACTAACCACAGATGTGCACATTCCTGGGCACAGAGCATGTTTCTCGCTGCGGTCATGTGACAAATGGTTAGAGTTTTAGGAGGCTCTGGGACTGCATGCTGTGCATGTGATCCATCTAAGACTGTGGGGTGGGATTCCATGCCATTACTTAACATGGCGAGACTTGCTTCGTGCGCCCCCACTATGAGTCCTTCCTGGGTGAAATTAAAGGCAGACCGGTTGGATGCTAAGGATCCCTGGTGTGGAGAGGCCATTCCGTGGAGCAGCTCATTGTGAAATCAATACCAAAGGGATGCGGGTCCTGGCGCTGGGAATTCTTAACTCCTTGTCCTTCCTTAGCCGTGGCTGTATCCCCGGAGGTCTTTCTGGCTGTGTTCTCGGGCCTGGGGGTCCCGACAAGCACAGTCACCTTGTAGGTCACAGGACATAGGGAAGGGAGTGACCTGCGGAGAGAAAGAGAGGGGAGGTGAACCAGGTGTTTGGGTCTCAAGGAATACTTTTCAGAGAGGCAGCTCAGGGGACAATCGCTGGATTGGGGGGACAGCAGATTCAAGTTTGAGTCCTGACTTTGCTTCCTTCTAGCCCTATGATAGCTTGTATCAAGATCACCAGCGTTGTTATCCTAGCAGCTTTCCTTTCCGGTGGCATTTACCATGGGTCAGGCAACGTGCAAAATACTTTGCAAATACGGAAACATCAAACCCTTCGACAACTCTGTAAGACAGATACAAAAACAGTCACCATTTCACAGGTGGAGAAACGAAGGCTCAGAAATGGGCAGGCATTTCCCCAAAGTAATAAATGGCAAATCTTGCATTTCCAGTAGGACGAGCCACCTCTCCTTCACCCTCAGGTGCGCAGCTGTAGAAGTGATATGATGAGACTGACTTGCACTATGACCTTTTGGGCTGAATGAAACCGTGGGTGAAGAATTGTAATGCACTGTCCCAGAGCTGTTCAGAGAATTGTGAAATGGAATATCTGGTAGGACTGTTGAGGTGATTGGTGAGATGAAGGATGTGAGAGTGTCTTTTAAGAAAACACAGCTCTCTGCACGGATTGGGCATTTCCATTTTGGGAGGCAAGGATGCAAGCCACAAAAGCTCCTCTCAGCCAGCTCAGAGCCAGGGCACCTGAGATCCTGTTGGGGACATTTCACATAGAGATTTTGCATAACATTTGGTTGAAGGGCCTAGGGAACAGATTTTAGCAAAAGAAAAGTGAGAGGCATACAATGATTTGCTATATGTAGATATTACAGAACCTGGGAAAAGAAGAAATAATGATTTGAAAAAAAATTTAAAAAGAAACAGTGAGAGGCCCTAGTGTCAGTTCCCGCGCCATCCCCTCACGTGCTCTGTGACCTTGGGCCGCCTTCCTTTCTAGAAACAGAGACAGAGCCCAGCCGAGCGAACGTCTTCCCCATGCAGCCAGCGATCTGTCTTTCCTAAGAGCACCGTGCAGCCCCTGCCTGAGCCCAAGCTGGGCTAGCACGAGCCAAGTGGATTTCACCTCATTGCATCATGACATTCACATCGCACTTTCCCCAGAGGGTCCCCCATCTGCGCAGATGGATTTAGTGACCTCATTCGCCTCCTGCCTGGGCAGGGTCTCCAAGTGCTCACGGAGCCTCAGAGAGCTGTGACTCTCTAGCTTGTGGACTCATTCTGTGTAGCTAACTCTTTTCTCTCTGCCTCTTGGCCCATCCTCCCTCCCTTTCTCCAAATCTCTCTGCAGGAAGATTGAGGTGTCAGCCCCAGCAGCCCTGTCATCTAACAGTGTGACCTGGGGCATGTGACAGTTTCTCTGCATCTTAGGTAACTCATTCATTAAATGGAAACAGTGAAAGCATACGTGTCCCTGAGGCTGTGGTGAGGGATGAGTGAAGTAAGTGACAAAAACCACCTACCACACAGTGCTTGACATATGCTCAGAGTTCAACCATATACCTATTTATGCACATATATAGCTTTCCTCCTCCCTCTCACTTGGTGAGTCAGGAGCCGTGTCCGTCCTGTTCATTCTTGTTTTCCAAGGCCTAATCCATAGAACGAGGGAGTGTATGTTCACTTCTCCTTCTCCCTGACTCCTCCTCTGCACCCACAGCCAGCGTACCTGTTTCCCTAGTCAACTGACACCCGCAGGTGCTTGGTGCTGGGGGGGCCTTCTCACAGCTGCCTCTCCATGCAGTGTCTTTCTGCTCACAACTCCCTGCTGTTCCCTGCTTAGCACCTTTTCTCCCAACCTCCATGCTCTCATGCAGGCTGTGCCATCCAATCTAGAATATCCTCCCACAACCGCTTCGCCTCCAGGAGAAGCAAGAGTGTTAGAATGGGAAAAGACAAAGAAAAACCCTCTAGTCCAAGTGAGGAAACTGAGGCAGAGCCAAGACCAAGTCTAACTGACGGTGAGTGGGGAGAGTTCCATCGTGGGAGCTCAGAGGCCTGGGTGGGCACCCTCAGGCCCCATTCTTGCTGAGCCATTTGAAAAGCCCTTCACTGCTGTAACCCTGAGTTTCTACATCTGTAAGAGTGCGATTAAAAAAGCACCATATTTCACATGGTTGTGAGGATCAAACAAGAAGAAATATGCAAAGCCCCAGCACATGGCCTAACACTCAGGAGATGCTTAATGCTAAATACACGTGTGCTGACTCAGATTTCCCACCAGCTCCAATTTCACCGTCTGTGACACCTTTCCTGCCTATTGCCCCCCCTCCCTCCCGCCTCCCAGACTTGGGCAGCCTCTTTGTCCTCAACTCACCCATCCCTTTATCTGTCCCCTTCTGCTGCCCTTGCCCACATCCTAACGTTACAATGATCCAGTTACCTCTAATGTCTCCTGCACAATTCTCTCCATAACTCTTTCCCATCAGGCACTACGACCCACGAGGGACCGTTTCAGTCTGGTTTCTCTCTCATGCATCCTGCCTCACCTCACACAAGCAAAAACTCAACAGGTACTATCTCTTCAACTAAGACTCAAAGTCCTTACCACGAGGTCAAGGCCTTGCAGGACCTGCTCTCCAACGCTTCTTAGACCTCACCTGGCCCCCTTCTTCCCCACACTCCTTGCGGCTTGTTTATTTATGGACTGGTTCCTCAAATACTCCGAGTGCTTTCCCACTTCTAAGTCTTTAGCCATTAATGGCCCTCCACCCTGCTCTCTCCCCTGGCAGCTCATTCACTCTGCAGGTGTCATCTCCCCCCTCACTACCCTGACCAATGGCACCCTGACCTCCATCCCATCTCCCAGCACCCTGTCTCTATGCTCCTTGTACTGAAGCACTTCTCACTTGTACGCCAGCTCAGTCGAGGCAGGGATCATGTCTGCTTTGAACTGAGTCTTTATATAGAGAGATCAGGTGTTCTGTGAACCCAGGGATGGAGGGACAGAGGGATGCACGGATAAATATCTAGGCAGCACACGGGCCAGGCAGCCTCTGCTCTTGCCCTCGCTGTCTGGGTGACTTGGCACAAGCCCCTGCCCTTCCCTGAGCTTCGGTTTCCCTATCTTACGTTAAGATTGGATGTTAATGGTCTGGACCTTTCTGTCTCTCTGAAAGTCCTCAGTCTGAGAAAGACAGAAGGCAACTCCTGGGCAGAAAGTACCTAGGGATGCACATTCTGCACACGCTCCTTGCGTGCTCCCCGTCCTGCCACCCCCAGTTCCACCAGCTTCTCCTCGGCCATCGGGTTCCAGGACCCTGCCTCCAGCTGGTTTCTCAGGCCGGTCTGGTCACCCTGGCTCTGTGGGTGTGAGTGACCGTTCTCTCTCCTCCCGGGTCAGCCCAGGCCATTTCAGCATTTTCCCAAAGAAATGTGTCTGGCACCTAAGGAAGGAACCCCACACAGAACACAGCCGAGTCTAGAAGGTCTGCTCTCAGGGGCAGGTCTGCAGACAGGCAGCTCCTCGTCTCCACCACATGCTGAAGTGCGGCTGCGTTTACTGAACCCTCCAAGGAGTTTGTGAGAAGACAAGTCCAGCTTGGGGTGGGCACTGCATGGCTTTGGAGAGTCCTTGGCACCCTGTGGACTCCCCCCCTCCCCCCCATCTGTAAGATGAGGGTCTTCATAAACACCTCGCAAGATTCTGGGAAGGAGTAATGAAATAATGTTGCCTCCAAACTAGCTTGCAGGTGCCTAGTGCAGACGCCCAGTGCCTTGTCCCCTCTTCCTGCACTTTGCACTCCTCTGTGAGAACTGCCTGTCCTGAGCTCTCTCTGCACAAGTGCCCTCCTGATCAAGAGCCTACACCTGGGAAGAGAAGGGAGGCGGTGGCTAGTCCCCCACCCTTCCAGGTGCTCCTGAGCCTGACCTGGATGAGACTGGGGAAGCCCATGTGTGCAGGTCCACAGCAGTGAACACTTTACACACATGCACACGCACACATGCATGCAAGCACATGCACATACACACATGCACACACATTCGTACAGGTTCATAGCAGTGAACACCACTTTACACACACACACACACACACACACACACGTGGGTGCACACACACATGCACGTTAGCATTTCCTGAGGGCCTTCCACTTGCAGATGATTGCCACATGCTAGCATGCGGACCCCACACCACCTCACGAGGCTGTCATTATTAGCTGCCCATCTTACAGATGAGAAAATAGAAGCCTCAGAATGTTTACAACAAAACACAGCCGCCCTGGGCTTCACAGCCCATCGATTAGCAGATGATGCAGGATTCCAAACCCACTCAAACACTGAGTTTTCAGCGAGTGAGTCAGGGCGAGGTGCCTGCCTCACCACGTGGCCATCGACTACTGCTTTGCCAGATAGACAATAGCCCCTTCTCCCTTACATGTCTGGCCCTTAGTCAACACAATGTGCACTACTGCACTCACCCTTCCCAACAGCCCTACTAAGGCAGCTATTCTGACCATCCCTGTCCTACAGCTCGGAGGAAACTCAGATGCCAAGAGGTGAGTCACTGGCTGGCAGGTAGCCTGGGTTCTGCATCCCTGTTTGTAACCATTCCTCCCTCCTGTCCCCCAAATGGCAGGCAGAGTGGGAGTCAGGGTCCCCTTTTCACAGAGAAAGAAACTGGGGCATCCCGAGTCTCATCCTGATAAAGTCAGTGCTCAGCAGAAATCCCAGGCCCCTGCCTCCCCCAGTAGCTGCCCGCCTTCTCCCCCACATGGCCTCCCAAGAAAGCCTACCACGCAAGGCACAAGCCCTGCAGTGGCCAGTTTACATCTGGGACACCTAGTGCCGTGTGGATAGGCCGCCCCATAAATGCTGGGCCGCTCACTCTGGCGTTCTGTCAACAAGCCAGGTCAATGACTAAAGGCCAGGATTCTCTCCTTTTTCCCTCTGGGCTGAGGATGTCGCTCAGGCACAGGGGTTTCTTCCTCTGGGTGAGCTGCCTGGGCCGACACCTCCACCCACGTGTGTGAGCGGCTCAGGGATGCAGGCTGAGAAAA